TGGGTCTGGTCTACCAAGAAACAATCCATTACACTGGATAGTTCTAAATGGTTGCTTCCTAGTAGACACACAGTCTAGCAGAAGTAGAAACAACATTGACTGGGGACCCTGGACTGTCATGAAGAGAATCTGGGTTTAGTTTCTGGCTCTACCACTTAGGCCTGATCTCTATTAAAAGCATTGCCAGCAGAGCCCTGCGGGATAGGGCTGTGATCTTCCTGCCAATGTATATTTTTTGTCAGCAGCTATGCCAACAAAGCCCTAATGTGGAAGCAATTATACTTTCAATGGCATAGCTTGTTTCACCTAGGGAACTGGTATTACCTATATTGACTGACAAAAGGGGTGATGAGGGCCCAATAAATACTACCTCTTAGGTACTTGAAGTGGCTCTATTGTTTTACTTAGCCAACTTTGAACTTAAGTTTTCCTTAGCTGAAGTCTAGGGAGTTACTGAATACTGTCACTTCCTTTCCCTTGTTGATAGAGGTCCTGCCTTCCCATCAGGTGAACATGGAAGATGCTAAATTGGTTCTTTCATTTTGCTTTTCTTGCCCATTTATTAAAAGCAATGTGAATTTAGGAGACAGTTTATTGGATGATTCAGGTTGGTGAGCAGAGCCCAGCAGAATGGCAGGCCTACTCCCAGCCCCTCATCAGGTGAGAAAGGAAGGACAGATTCCAGGTAAGTGACCATCTTAGAGACTGAAGACCTCTCCATATAAGACAGGGGAAGCATGGGCAATGGTACAGCATTGTCTCCTGGCAGTCCAGGCTGCTGCCCCTGAAGAGCTCTTTCAAGGGACAGGAGGGGAGTTCAGTCTCCGTGACCCATTCATTTCTTCTCCAAGCTGAGATGGCCAATGGGATGGCCCATCAGTGATGAGGATGAGCACTGACTGAAGTCAAACTCAGGAATCTCTGTTTGCAACCCATCTCTTTATTTTTCATGCCCTTTGCTCAGATATGACTCTTCTTGCTTCTTTCTTCACCCCCCCCCCCAACTCCTTAACACCCTGGCCCTCATCCAACTCCCATTGAAGTGAAGGAGGAGTTTTGCTACTGACTTCTATGCATAAGAGAACAAAGCCCATGTCTACCCCTCAAATAGGCTGTCCTTTTCTTGGAAGCTTCCCAAGATTCCTTGGGGTCTGTCTTCTGAGAGGGTGGCTGCCTGTATACATTCAGCCCACAAGGCACCTGCTGGGGGCTGGGAAACTTGGCACAGCCTTAGTTTCATCCATGCCTACCACATACAATAACTTTCTTTCCTTGACACTTACTCCCCTCATTACTGTGCTTCTGATTATTTTGCTGGTTTAAGACACTAGTTAAAACCCCCGCAGGGAGCATGAAACATATGACATTTCAGCAGGGAACACAAAATCTGCCATTCCTCTGTAGGAGCTGAAAGAGTTTAGTATGGCAGGGGAAAAATTCTCATTCTTCAGAAACAGGTCAGATGATCCAGGCTAGAAAATAGAGAATGGGCAGAACAGAACCATAATATAAATAAGCCAACAAATAAATAAGTCTCCTGCCAGCTCAGGGTTTGGGTTGTTTTTTTTGGAGAGGGTGGCTCATTAGTCCCAAAACCTTGTGAGTACCGAGGTCTTCAAGGTATGATTAGAGGGTTCTTGAGGTTTGATCAGGAGGAGTCTTCCTCTAGGAGCATGAGAGACAATCCCTTCCCCACAGTACAGACACTTGTGCTTTAAATACTGCTCACACATCTATCTCAATGGTCACCTCTTTCTCTGAGGCTCCTCTATGTCTGGCCAATGCCCCAGCTACCTCTCCTCTGCTGGGGGAATGAGGACTCCTCCACACTAGACACTGTCCCTTATCTCTGCTCACATAGCCAATCACTCTCACAGTTTCACTCAGAGTCTCCATTGTATTTGATTCCTTTCATGCTCAGAGCTGCTTAGTTGTCATTAAGGGTCCCAGTTACTCAGCATTTGTCTCTTGATGTTGGTCCTCGTCCCTCTTATGTTCTCATAGTGAGGTGATAAAACACTCTGGTTTCTTTGTTGCTGAATGCTGCTCACTCACTGCCACTTCACTGTGCAGAGGCAACATTTCTGAGCTGGAGCCTGAGGGGTGATACTGCATTTAAGACCCAAAGCAGCTGATCAACTCAAACATCTGGTGCTAGTGCAACAAGGATCCCAGTGCTCTGGCAATAATTTAAAGTCCATTCTGGCACTGTCCCTGCTTTTCAGTGTCTGGGAGAACATGCACAAACATGACATGGGAAACACAATTTCTAGCAGATCTACTGCCTCTCCCTGACATGGGAGAGGGTGTTTATCCAACAAACTCCACCTCTTGGAATGTGACACTGTGGCCCAAGTTTGCAAACATGAAGCCTGAAGTTAGATAGTCCTCAGCCGAGATGCCCAAATTAGCACCTGGGCACCTTGAATACCAAGAGAGGAAGTGCCCAAGTACTTCTGAGAACTTCCAAATGCAGTATGAGATGCTGTAACCTCACCTCTGTCCCAAATTCAAAGCCTGAACTGCGGGCCAGACAGAGACAGTCCTTCAAGGCTTGCACCCTCAGGGGAAGATCCCCTCAGGTTGAGCTTGTTCTAAAGTAGTTTTTAAAGCAGACAGATTTCTCATTGTGTTTTCACAACATCTCCCTCCTCTGAACTATCATAGCTTGTGACAGCTTTGTGGAAGCTCAGGTTTCATGTCCTCAGAGCAGGCAATTTCAGAGGCTTCTCACTGGTATGGAGAGCCCTGGTCTCCAAAAGAAGCCTGGGTGATGTTCCTTTAGGCCAGAGATGACACAGCAGGGATTTTAGATTGTACCTTAAAAAGTCATCTTCCAGCCATTGGTTAAAAACATAGGACTCCAGTAGATGGATCTCTCAGCCAAGCACTGGTGGCTAGTGCTTAAGTCAAAGGTGAAATTCCACATGGCCACAGGGTACCACATCAGCTCTGTCCCTGATTTTTACTAGCTTTGGGACAATGGGGAGCTGGTAGACATGGTCATGACCTGGTGGGCAGCATCTTCCTCCATTGTTGTAACAGAGAGCTGGGCAGAACTGGCAACGTGAGAGTCCGCTGCTGGAACACCTATGAAGTAAACTCTCCCCAGTGCCCCTGCAAAACCAAAAAAGAAGTGGAGTCAAAATGAGGTGTAAGAAGACAAATATTGACACAGCACCGGATATATTGTCTAGAGGCCCTTTCCCAAAGAACTATCCCTCGGCTCCATTACAACACTGTTCCTCCGTGTAGTGCAGAAGGGACAGTAGCTGTATTCCTTTACTGTGCAACAGGCACATCAAAGGTTTAAGAACGTGGTTGGTGCTTTGTTGGGTGCCACCTGTACTACGAAGTGTAGCAGTTCTGTAGCTGGGTCAAAGGGCAATGGCATATGGCACTGTAACCAGGTTGTAACTCAGCTGTAGACTGACTCTGAGTATGCCCCAGTATTGAAGAACAGCTCTCTAATGTGACTGCATTGATTTTTTTTCCTGTCCACACAAGCAAAAAGAAACTATGTTATAACAAGGATGGAGAAACAACCATCCTTCACCACTTTGTTTAAGGACGGTTATTTATGTAGCGTGTAAAGTGTTGACTCTAATCAATACACAGGCCCAGGAGGGAGAGGGAGGATATTAAAATGTAAGTGCAGATAACTCAAGAGGCTGTTCTCATGCTCACAGCAGCTGCAAAGGAAAAATATTAGGCTCGGCCTCTTTTCTGCTTCTTTAGGGAGTAGGATGAAGACCTGGAAGATATTGTAAAATAAACCAAATTCCTCTCTTCCTTGCTATTTTTGCCTTTAATTTAGTTTTAAATGGATAGCAGGAAGATCAAATCTTGTCATTCTTGTTTTGGCTGATGGACTTGTTAGGGGGTCTTGGAAATACAGCTTGAGAGTTTTCTCAGTCTTTTAATTCACAGGGAGGCAAAACCATAAGGGAGGGCTGCTCTTTCAAGGGTATTGGTAAACAGATTCTAATGACAATTTTGTCGGTCTCTTATGCCCCACTTTGCATCAGCAGACCTCAAAGCATGAACAGCAGCAAACAAAAAACCCAAAGAGTTTTAAGGAGCCTGATCCAAAATTGCTTCCACTGTCAAATGATTGCAGGGAGTAAGCGGCTTTTGCTGCTGTGTTCCGTAGAAGTTCAGTACAACATCTGCAGCCAGGGGGTGGCCTTAAGCCACCTTTGTGTGTTTCTGAACCTGGGCTGATTTGGGGCCCTTTCATAACAGAGATGCCCCCAGGAATTTCCTGACTGCTCAACATATTCCTGCAATCAGCCCTGCCCCAATGCATGCTTGATCAGGGCTGGCCAGGTGGGCCTTGGGGAGCAGCCTTACATCCATTTTCTACAATATCCACCCTGGGGAAAATCCTTCTCTGGCTCCATCTGGGGCTCTTCTGTTTTTCTTGCCATTTCACAAGCATAGGGTTTGGGGACAGTGTTGGGGACCTTCCTCATGGTCCTGACTCCTACCAGACTTCCAGGTGTTCACTGACTATCCTAGCTCATGAGTTCTAGTGCAAATACCAAGAGAGAGATTTTTTTTCTTTATAAATCCTCCAGGCACTTTTGTCCCACATCAGATGGAAAACAAAGGCATGTTTCTGATCCTCTCCCCTGTTCCCATTCCATTTACTGCAGATAGTCACGCTAGGTATGTGAGACAGAGGCCTGTGAGTGGTAGGAGGCAAGCAGGGATGAGAGTAGGAAGAAGATGCTACTATTCAGGGCTGTACCTGCTGGAGCATAATCTTTGCAGCTGACATGGTTGGGGTGTCCCATTGCACTGTGCCTGTGGTATTCCAACTATGCACGCATGTGCTGTGCTCTCTGCTGGGAAGTCTTACAAGCAGTTTGACAAGGTATTTATAAAACATGGAGCCTTGCAGCAAGCAAATATCTGCCTAGGCCATGTCACTTGGATCTAAGGAATTTAGATTCTGAAGTATTTAGGAATTGAAGGAAATTTCAGAAAAGTACTGGACTCTGCAGGCCAGACCTAGCCTGTTACAGAGACACATTCCTATGCTAGGGAGGGAGGAATATGCCTCATCCTGTAGATATTTTTACCTAGCAAGTTCCCAGGCCTGGCAGTGGTGTAGGCATTGCTAGCACTCTGGTCTCCCCTGTTCTTTGCTTGCAGCATGCTGTAGGTTTCTTATCTTATAGGATGTTTTGTAGCTGTTCTGTTTGAGAAGGGCCAGAGCAGAAGATCTCATGGCCTCTATAGGACAGCTGACTGTCTGTAAATACAGCCTAGGAGGCCCCTTCCAGTCCCAATAAGCACAGAACAGAACACCTTAAATGACAATATTTTTTCTTGTCTTCTGCTGCACGCCACCCTCTGCAAACAGGAGGCCCGATAACTTCCAAAAATCAACAGGCTTGATCTCAAGACAGTGGCCAAGCAGGCTACTGGGGGCTCTAAGAGGTTTAGCCCAGCCACAAGTGGTGATGGTGAGTTAAAATTTTAAGTGTGGCAATGGAATCTGGCTTGGCTGCCCAAGGGGTCATTGATATAGGCTCCCGTGGCTCTATTTATCTGTGACACAATGAGGTTCTTTCTTTACATCAGAGGACTGCTGCTTTGGAAAATCCTATTGGAATGGATGCTACCCGCAACCTGGATTAAAGGACCACAGTGCCCTTGAATAGAAGGTAGGCCAAGCTCTACCACAGCAAAAGAGCCAAATGCAACTGTAATCAACAAAGCAACACCTGTTTGCATCAGCTATGAATCTGGCATGAAACTATGAGATAGGGAAGTGACAGAAAGGAGAAGGCCAAAATCTTTCCTGTAGATAAGCTGCTAGGGGGTGCGAAGGCGGGGGGAGGGAAGGGGGGAATATGAATCACTCAGCTCGGTCTGGGTCACAAAACAAAGCATTCTCGTTCCTCATAACAAATAATCTGAAGGAAACCAACCCTGAGATGATAAACTGCACGTGCATGGCATTTGCTATGGAGAATGACTCGGTGCTTGTCAGAGAGAGAGAGTGAGCGAGAGAAGAGCAGGATCCTGCTTGGTTCTTGGCAGCCCCTGGCCTTATCAGTACCAGTTCAGAGCTGGGTTGGCTGACACAAGGGTTAGCAGTCACTGTCACCTTCTTTACCCTGAAGCAGTCACTAGTGTCACCTCAGGTGGTGCCTAACTGGGATGAGGAGGGAGGGAAGCAGATATTAGCATGAATAAGGCAAAGAAGATTCGGCCACTAAAAGCCATCAGGGAACTTCATTCACAGCAGAGAACAGTGGGTGTACATGGAGCTGGTCCCAATGGGAAGAGGAAGAGAATGGAGGAGGCAGGAAGTTACTGGCACAGAGCATTGAATAAATTGAAAACAAAAAAGCCCACTCATGGGAACGGTCGGGGGAAGCAACAACGGGCTTAATGGGTTGAATTCCAGAGGTATTTCATGTGTATCAGATGTACAGAGTACAGGCAAAGCAGTCAGCTTTTTCAGCCCACTGAACTTATCCCACTCTCAGAGAAGAACAGTCTCACCTTGGAGGCTATAGCAGGCTTACAATTTGGCTGCATATAATGTTAAAGGAATCTGTGTTCCTTAAGGTGTGCCTCCCCCAATCTCTCCTTTTAGCATCTGGCACTCTGACTTGTCCTGCTGTGAGCAGCACAGACATGCAGGCAAAGCCAGGGCAGTGTCCTGGTCACCACTGGCATGAATGTCTGTGCATATTGCAAGACATGTGTGATTTTTCCCTGCATTCTTGCCATTTGTCCGTGCGTATCAGGATGGGTTTCAAGCTATGCTTTTAATTCCATTTTTGTCTGGTTTCTTTTTCCTTCCAGGCAAGCCTTGGAACTAGATTTATCAGAAAAGCAAGCTATTGAGGTCAATGAGCTATTGCCCACATCTCCCCACCCTGCGCATGGACTGTAGACAGAGCAGCTCTCAAGACCCCAGTTTGGGGCTGTGTATCTGTGGATTGGGTTTGAATATACATGCTTGCAGAGATATTACTGTATATATTAGTGCTATGGATACAGGGATACTCACATCCTGGGGCCATAATGCCACTTTATACTTCTACCCGTGGGTCCGTAAAACCACGCTTGCCTTCATTAACCAGTGTTGGCCTCTCAGTCCGTGTGTGCCAGACCAAAACCTACAGGGAAATGCAGAGAGAGTTCATAGGCCATTTGGAATTCATGGAGAAACCAATCCCACCAGCATGCTCATTCCTGAACAGCCAATGCTCTGAAATGCATTAGGTGTCTGGGAGAAAGTGATGTGAGTCGGGGCTGGATGGGATTTTTTTATAGGCACTCACAAAACCAGCAAATGAATATTGAAGTAAATGTAATAAACAATACCAATTAGGAGAGATGAGCCTGAACAAAAACCTCACTGAACCTTCCTCTGCCTTGGTGGAATTGGGATCTGAATCCCACAGTGGGGGCCCATCTCTAACAATCTAATTATACTGCACAGCAGCACAGCTCTGTAGGGCTCCAAGAGCTGCTCAGCTGCAAAGCACTTTTGTTAACTCACTTCTCTACCATGCTGTTCTGTGCTGACATGCCTTGGTGCAAGCACAGGTGGGATGCAGGCTGGAAGGGAAAGGGAGAGGGGGGAACAGGGTACTGGAATGCCGGGGTGGGGAATGTTCAGAGGTTGGGTGATGGATAGATCCCAGCAAGGCAAAGCCCCTCATTATGCCAACCTTTGTGCAGTTGGCAGCTTTGGGCTCCAATCCATCCATCGTCACCAGGTCCTTCAGCAAGCTGGTTTCCTGGTAGCCTCCCTTGACTCCCTCTAGCTTGAAACTGGCCTGGGGCTTCTCCAGGATCAGTCTGATGCTAACGGCAAAGCCTGCCATGTCGATCGCAAAGGGTCGGTTAGGGTCAAAAACTGTCTTCCAGCCCACCACCTTCCCTGAGGGGCTCACTTTGGGGGACTCATACCGCAGGCCTCCCACAAAGGCTACAGGCCAGACAGACACCCGCCGTGTGTAGCGCATCTGCGGGCCAGAAAAAAACAGTGTGAAGGTTCAGTGAAGACCCCACTCCCTTTGCATGCCAGGCTCCTGCTTTCTCACCCTTTGATCCCTCACCACAGAATCACTCTACCAGGCTTGCCTCATAGTCACCCCTTGCAGCCTTTCCTTTTCTACTGTTTCCTTCTGCCTGATCTTGTCCACTCTCCTGACACCTTCCCATCCTTTCCTCTCCATCTCAGCCCAACAACTAACTCCATCCTCTAACCCGACCTGGCCACCAGCCTTCCTACCTGCTGATGGGATTGCCTTTGCATGCCTGCCTCCTCCACATGTGCCCAGTCCCTCCTCTGATGCTTATGCACTACTGTTCCCCACTTTCAGCTCTATTTCCTCACAGCTGTGATCAAAGCAACTTTCTTGCCATCCCCCTGTTGTGTCACTCCCTGCTCTTCTCCCATTCACCTTCAGTCGCTTCTTTCAGCTAAGTGCATCTCCCCTTAGCCATGACCTTAGCACTCCCTCTGGCTCAGGGACATATAGGGCTGTTCTCCTTAGCTGCCCTCCTAAGCAGGCAGAGCTGTTTGTCCACCAAAATACCCTTGCTCCACTAGCCAAAAGAAGGTGACCATGTAATGATTTTTAGCCCCAAGGCTCTATATTTCCTCCCATTCCTTTTGCTCCTTCAGACATGCCTCTGCTCTGAACACCTGACTCCATCTCTGCTGGGAACAAAGACTGGTGGATTTGCAAAGCTGTTGGTTTTCTAGCTTCTCCTACCCTGGCACCCAGCTCACCCAGCCTGGTGAGGTAGAGGGAACCCCACCAGGCACAGCTCCAGGGTATGGACCCTTTGAGCACAGCTGACAGCTCTTCCTCACACTTAGTGCAGAAGGCCTGTGGGGGTTGCAGAGCCCCAGGGCCCTTTGTAGGCACACAGCAAAGGAAAGATCTGGCCCTGTAGAGGTGGATAGTTACACTTTGCTTTGCTCTTTCATGATGTCCTACCTCCTCAAAGAGCTCCAGGCTGTAGGTGTTGTCATCGTCGGCGAAGTACACGACTCCTTCTGGTGGCGGCGTGTGGCTGAAGCTATCCCTCAGCCAGTGCAGCCCCAAGTTCCTCTGCAGCGTCCCCCTTGGGGTGTGGGAGGGCATCCAGGACAGACCCACCTTCAGACTCTTGGGGGTCTCCACGTTCAAGTGTGTGAAGTTGAGCCCTGCCTTTTCCAGCAGGTTGGACACCAAGTTGGTCCTTCGGGGTGAGTCCTCTACCACCACCCAGTGCAGGTTCTGCACATGTAGGAAGGTGTTGGTGAGCCGGGTCAGCTCGGCCTTCTGCACCGGCCGCGTGTAGGTGGGTGTGATTACAAAGATGGTGGGCAGCGTGTCCGACCATGGCGGAGGCCTCGAGTACACATAATTTTGGATGATTCGAGGAGCTGCCCCTGTGGGCGGCTGCCGGATGCAGGATGGGAGCCCCTCCTCTCTCAGTGGGGATGTGCTGTTGAAGGTAGCTTTAGCTGTGACATTTTCGTCTGTCTCTTCTGAGGCAAAAAGGGAGGAAGAGGAAGGCGAGAGTCAAAAAGCAAAGCACATGAGGGGGCAGTTGATACCAATCTGTCAGTCTGTGATCTATCTAGAGAAGGAGCTGTGGTTCCTTACAGATGACAGCATAGGAGAGTGAATCTCTCACAGACCAATGTCACTGCTTGGTTCTTGAGAGGTTTTGCTGTGACTACCAAATGTGGGATGTTTCCTAATGCCATGGGGGTCTTTAAGAGAAGGCTGGATAGGCATCTGGCTGGGGTCATCTGAGCCCAGCACTCTTCCCTGCCCAGGCAGGGGGTCAGACTCAATGATCTGTTGAGGTCCCTTCCAACTCTAGCATCTATGAATCTATAATGGGGAAAGAGGAAGCCAAGAGCTCTTTACTTGTGACCTGATGCAGCCACCAAACAGTGCTGTCCTTATAGGCAGCATATAGATTTAACAAACAGGAGGTAGTGTTAGATGTGCCACAACAGCATTCAAGAAGAGCACAACTTACATCCTAAAGGTGAAATCATTTTGTTTGGAGCTGGGTCCTGAGCACGTCTAGGTTTTCTGGGAACGTGTTAGAAAGCAGAGCGTCTAAAACTGGATCACGCTGCAGACTGCTTCTTCTGAGAGTCTCACCCACACTTCGCCTGCCAGCCGCTGAAACTACGGCAACCACAGTTCGTGGTTACCTGAAAACACCACATCTGCTCTCTCTCACTGAGACTCCATGAATATAAGCTTTAATGTGATGAATGCGTGTCCCCCTCTGTTTTGTAATTGCTTTTTTATTTTCCCATCCTGATTTAAAAATTAATTAGAGCCTTCAGAAAATGGAAACTGGAAGAGTTCAGGCAGGGTTAAATCCAGCAAATCACTTGAAATGTAAAAAAAAAAAAAAAAAAAAAAAAGACAAAGATTTTTTTGTGGGAAGGAGGAGGGGGGTTGAAAAATGTCACAGTCATTTTCCTTCAGCAGGTTGTGAAATGGAATTGTTTTCTGTTTGTTTGAAAATGTTAATGATCTTTTTTTCATTTTTGCTCCTTTCTTTCCTTTCCCCCACCCCCAAGAATTTACCACTGAAAAGGGACAGCGAGAAAGGAAAAAAAAAGTGGGGAATAAAGAAAACTGTTGAACTGAAAAACAATTCTTTTTTCTTGTTTTTCATTTTCCAGGTTTGTTGGGGCGGGCAGGAAAGGGAACTTAAAAAGCAGTCATGAAAAAGTTTCCAATTTCAGGAACAAGGTTACTTATTGATGAAAAATGTGGCATTTGAAAAACCTGGCTGTGTTATGCAAGTCCTGTGACAGGCTGATGCTTTGCGGGTGTGACAGAATCAGCCTTGTGGACCGGGTAGAAAAGTTGTATGAAGTGCAGACAAGTGGAGCTCCAGTGCTGTGCTCGCTGCTGCTCCTGCTGTTGCCTCTTTGCTGAGTACAGGACTTTTAGAAGGTTCACCTTTTCCTTTTGGAGGAGGACTCTGAGGCATAGACTCTGGCGATTCCCCGTTAATTAATCAGCATTTGCAAAACCTACCTAGCTGCTCTTTACCTTGAGCAGAGATGACAAAAACAGCCGCAAACAGCACACAGGCAATGCCATTTGCAGAAACCCCAGCTAAGTCAGCACCCTGCCTACTTCCATCACCCCAAAGCAGCTCTCTTGCTCTTGCTTAGCTATGCCCTGCTCTTCTGTTTTTTGTATTTCACCTGACCTAACCTTTAATCCAGAATGACCAGGCATGGTCACAGCAAGTCCATTATCCTCAAAGCACTGCAGTTGCTCAGCTGGGCTTGGGTATTAACTCTGGTCACAGCAGAGGAGTAATAGCACTGACAGGACTTCAAAGTGGCTTCCAGTTTTGTAAATATTCTGCCCTCTATCCCTGCTCAGAGCAGGCCTGCATAAAACAGTGTTAAAACACCAGCACTTTCATTAATTCAGCAGTAGTGACACAGTCGGAGAGTTTAGGGGAAAAAATTATGTGAATGCAAGTTCTGTCGATTTGGCATCAACAGAAGTCTCTTTGGGAAGGTTCAGCTGTAATTACAATGTATGCTAAACAGGGCTGCTCTCTGGGGTTGTCTATACCTCATCAAGCAGTGGGTCTTAGGGAGGCCAGGACTGAGTCCATGTTTCACTCACCTGAGTCTGCTGATATACCCTAGAACTGGAAGTTTGTCCATGAGGCTGGTTCAGACTTGTCCCCAGTGCCCGTCCTCAGGCCTGCCAGAGACCAAGGGCTCAAAAGCAGGGGCTGGGAACAAGTCCAGTGCAACCTCATGAGTGAGCTTATAGCTCTGGATTGTTTGGCTCAGATAGAAGTGTGTTTAGTCTCATCCCCCCGGCTTACCTCCCAACTTGCTCGAACTGGTAAAGAAAAGCCCTCTGAGGCTCTATCCAGGCAGAAGAGCCCATGAAAACTACCGGGGTGATTGCTGGAGCCAGAACCTGTAGGGTTCTCTGGGCAAGTTTCTCTTTGTCTAACCCAGTGGTTCCCAAACTCTGCCAGATTGCGCACCACCAATTTAAAACGATACAACCTTGAGTACCACCAGCACATTTTTGTCATATAAAATAATTGTAATAAATCTGTTAATGTATACCTCTGACAGGATGTCTGCATACTACTGGTGGTACCCCTACCATAGATAGGGAACTGCTGGTCTAACTATTTCCATGAAGCTCTTTCCCACCAAGGGCTCACAAGAACAACCCCCAACATGCAGTCCATGACCTCCCTTGCCATAGCACTGTTATGATCAAGCTGTCACATTGTAAAGGGCAAAATGCTTGCACTTACTTCTCAGCAGGCTGAGGTAGCGGGTGGTTGGGTACTGATGCCACAAGGTGAGGAGAAGAGCCCATGGCAGGGCAATCAGGAGTGTGGTGAGAAGGTTGCGTCTCCTCAGCATGCTGCACAGAGCTTCCAGTGCCCAGGCATCTCTCTACCTTTCAGAACAGAGCACAGAGTAAGGTGTCCAGGGGTCTGCACAGTATGTGCACTAGGAAGGCTATGCCAGGGTCATTGGCCACCAAGTGAACAGATTGTATCCAGCTCACTTAGACTAAAAACAGACACAATGTTTATTCGGATCATAACTTTCCTGGGCTTTGACTCACATCCAGATAGGGGAGGGATAAGTGTATATTAGCAATTAACTCTAATTAGGATTGTCCTGGGGGAAAAGTGTTAATTCAGATACTTCACAAATACTTTCAGTGGGACACCGGGCTTGTCCATCTCTAGGATCCCAGCATAAAAGGCTTCAACCTGGGAGAAACTAACAGCTGCTTTTGGCCTTTGACTTTGATCCCAGGAAGTGCTGAGCAATTTTGGCTCTGATTCAGCAACTCATTGAAGCACGGGTTTAATTTTAAGCCCATGAGCAAGACTGAGCTATGGAGGTAGTGAACTGGCTGCCACAAGCCTTTCCTACGTTGTAGGCTGTCAGCTCTTGTTTGGGTTATAAACACAAGTGTTTAGTCCTTATGCCTAGGAAGAAACCTCCTATGTGGAAACCAGGTATTCCTAATACAGAGCTGTTTGTCTTCCTGAATCTGCAGGCAGTCTGAAATGTCAGCTCATGAAAAGCTGTTGAAACCTGAACCTAACCATGACCCATCCAAAGTCAAATTTTCAAGTAACCTGGAAACATTGTTTTTAGGATTACCATAATTGCATGCAAAATTTCAGTAACCGCATGTGCAAATAGTCAAACTAAGGATGAAAACAACAGTAGTCCTAAAGAGGACCAGTATTCTTTTTCCTCATACAACTTCATTTTGGCTTCCTTCTGTGACTATGTTATGATACAGCCATTCCTTTCATGATCACATGCTATTTTTTCCAATTGATCACTGCCTGAGTGCACAGTAGAGATGGTGCTTGCTGACTGGTTGGCTACTCTATACATTTTTTTCATCCCAAAATATCCCCAATGTTACTTACTGCATATAACCCAAACCCTGAACTAAATATAGGTTTATTAAATTCCATATGGGCATTTCTGCAGTGCTCATCTTTAAGGTATCAGAAAGCATCTTCACAACAGATTAAACCATCTTCACAACTTCCCTACAAAGTGAGGGGCACTGAGACTCAAGAGGAATTAAGGTCAAACTTTTCAGGTGCAGATAGTAATGTTTTTTGAAATCCAAAGAAGTAGAAGCCCAACTAGAGACATTGTCAGCTTCATTTTTAGCAATGGCTGCGTACCTACCACTCCTGTTGGCTTTAATGTAAGTCATGAGGGATTGGTTCTACTGAAAATTAGGGCCAAGGTTTCTGAAATCCAGTCAGCCAAGTATCTCAAAGCTGTGGCTATTTCTGAACTGGTGGATGCACCATGGCTCACTCTTCAGTGCTTAGAAACTCTATTGCAGATGTAAGGCTGGAATCCAGATGCCAGATTAAGGTTATAACTTTAAGGACATCCCTTTCTCCTCTTTTGAATCACTTTCAACCTCTTTGGTCTTTGTGAATGCAGCAGCTACCTGCACTGGTATAGCAGAAAAAGCAATGAATAACCACGGGGATTTAATTCTTTTAGGGCAAGGGTGGCCAACCTGCCACACGTGTGCAACCTATGGCATGGGCACCTATGGCATGGGCAGTCTCTGTATATGGCACATGGCAGATGAGACAGGGGGCAGGCAGCACAGTGGCAGAAAGGGCAGGGAGCAGAATGGGGAACAGTGGATTGCAGAGGAAACACAAGGTAGGAAGCAAGAAGCAGAGCACTGGATTGGCCTGGAAGCAAAGGCTAGAGCAGCAGATTAGGCAGGGGAAGGGGCTGGCACTCAGGGGGGGTGCAGGGCTAATTTGTTCTGGGGCACACTGAGGGGTACAATGACAGTGCTGCCCATTGCCAGCTGAGGAGTTAGCACTACTGCTCAAAGCAGGTGCTTTACTTTTTAATTGGGTTTGATACCAGTGTTTGCCTGACATCACACCCTTTCTCTTTGGCTGACATGCCAGCTCCTCAGGGTTTTTGCTTCTCTGCTGTCCTCTGCTGGTGTCTTCTGTCCCCTTTCCCTTTTGATGAGAGTGCTCCCCACCCCCCGAGGCCTGAGGGAAGAAAATGTTCATTAGCCATGAAGAAGGAAGTTTTCCCAGGCGAAACATTCTGGCCACACTTCCTGAAAAGTGGAGGGTTGGCACTGCTCACGGGGTAAAAACAGACATCGCCTCTCCTCATACTTTTGCCATCATACAATTTTTATAGTGGCACAAAGACCAAGCAAACAAATGTTCATGCCCCTTGCCATTCCACAAATGCCCCAAATTTGTGGCCGTGACAAGAGGTAATGATAGATTGTGCTGCTTTGAATGGGCAGGACAATAGGTGATATATTTCTCCCAGTGAAATGGATCAGTTGTACCAGGACACATCCCGGCACAGTTGATCCCTCCTCATTTGGCCGTCAGGTTTTAGCCTCAGATTACTCCTTGGAATTCAGCACTTTCTGTCCCCTTTCCTGCTCCACCAGGTCAAAATGCCAGATACCTGGCAAAAGCCACGGGAATAAGGAGCCCAAAGACCTTCAATGATCTGGACCTTAAGTCTCTGCAATTCAGTGTCACAACCATCCGATGGGGATAGCAGCATTGCCCTATCTCCCAGCAGTGCTGTGATGATAAATACATGACAGGCTGAGCTGCTTGGTAACAGTGGCCATATCAATCCTAGGGGGAGATAGCAGGTGCATGGTATTCCTGGCACTGGTACTCACCTCCTCCTCTATGCAACACTTATGGGTAGTGTATTTTCTTAAATGAGACGCACACATCAGGCAGCACCATTACAGTTATCTAGCCCCAGCTCCTGTCCAACACATGTTGCCCTGGAAAGGACTGTCTCTGACCACGTGTTTTCCTCAGCAACAAACCCAAGCCAGCCCTGATCCTGACAGAGGTCCCAACAGGGTTGTTACTGCAATACAAATATTGTTATTGTAGTGTGAGGTAGAGGAAGACACATGAAGCCGTAGCGTTGGTTGTAATCTGCCCTCCTGCAGAGGTTCTCTGACCTTGATTATTGTCCTCCTAGGATTGCCCTCTAGTCCTCTCTAGTGGGGGTAGAAGACCAGGACTCTATGAGCACTCCACAATTATGGTCCCCAAGTTTCTCTCTCATTCATCATGCCCCTTGCTTTCTCCCCCTTTCTGGCCATCCTCCTTCCCCAGTGCCCTTCCCACCCCCACCTTTTCCCCGTGCTTGCTGCAGTCCCTGTTTGTATTTTGCAACCATAACAACATTAGCAGGATGTTTGATGGATGCCTTCAATATGCTGCTGGTAACCTTCTTGAGCTGTTTTCCAATTACACATCTCTCTGCTTAATTTCATCCATCAATCTTCTGTTTTCCATTTTTTTTTAAAGATATCGACACCGTCACAGCTTAAACCCTGAGATTTGACTGGAACGAAAAGATTTCCTGCGCTCTGTTCACTTCACACTGCTTCACCAGGCTTCCCATTCCAGGGATGCAATGGCAGCCAGCTTGTGGGAGACTTACCTCCCTGTACAGGGTGAGAACTCCTCAGGCCACTCGGGGAGGGGGAAGAAGCAAGCAGCCATGGTAAGTAGCACCATGAGCTACTCAACTAATGACCAGGAAACATGAGGTACAAGTAAAGATTGGAAGAACTGGGATTATATAGTCTGCAGAAGAGAAGACTGAAAAAAGGATTTGATACCAATCTTCAAATACCAGCTGAGTGGTTATGAAGAGAATGATGATAAGCTATTTTCTGTGGGCGCAAAAAACAGGACAAGAAAAAATGGTTTTAAGTTGCAATAAGGGCAACTTAGGTTGAATATTAGGAAGAACTTTTAAACTCTAGGTAGCCTGTTCCACTGTTTAACCACACACAGAAAAGTTGTGGAATCCCTGGAACCGGTTGTGGAATAATCCTGCCATCCTTGAAAGCTTTTAAGAACAGACAACACATGTTTATGGTTTAGGCTAGGGTGATCCTGCCTTGAGCAGGGGGTTGGACTAAATGATCTCCTGAGGGCCCTTCCAGCCCTATTTTTCTATGATTTGATGCTAGACCTGGCTATAGCTCAGAGCATCTCCTCTGATTTAATCCTGCTGACTGGTAACCATCACCAGCATGTTTAAGGGTGGTCCCTGAGAGATTAGGTGCCACCCATATTAGGAGACTCATGTCTGGAGTAATCCTCAATAGCAGTGTATTTAGAGAACAGTCTTGGGGGGCGACCCCCAATGATGGGGGTGGCCTTAGAGATGTGTATTCAGGTTTGAGAGTGCACTATGAAGGATGTCACCTGGGAGGATCAGGCTGGTAAATGACTTCAGGAAGGTTTGGGAGGCCTGTGTTAGGGGAAGGTCTCATTAGGCAGAGGTCAGTGAGGTGACTGTAATTAGGGGCAGCTGCAGGTACTCAGTTTTTGGGAGAGGCTGCCTGTCAGTCATCCTGATTATCTCCTTTCTAATGACTCTGAACTCATCATAACAAACTGAATCATGCATAGAAAGGTTGTTCTGTTTTATGGAGTATTTCAATATCGCAAAGCATAGATTTGTTCCAGTTCAAAATGAAAACCACACATTTCCAAATTTCCCTCTGAAGGGAAAGACTTAGCATTCCCAACTCCAAAGCAGCTTGTATGCCTGTTTGTTGCTTTCTGATTCCAGGACTGTCTGCTTGTCCGCCTACTTCACAGTCATGGACTCCGGAGGCCAAACTAGCCAAGGAGCTGATGAGGCACGCTGACAGGAAACCAGGCTGATCTTAGGCACCATCCTGTTTCTGGAAGAGCTTTGTGGAAACTGGATGGCCTCCATGGAACATTTTGATGCTGATGAACTGGCAAAGTCTAAGGAAAACCTATTTTGTCAGAGGTTTTTCCAACCAGGTGTAATAACAAAGGGTGGGGCAAGGGCCAGAAGAGATGGAAAAGAATACAGTGGCATCA